GCCCCCCCCCGGAAGGTGCGGCTCCGGCATTCCACAGCGCCACCGGGAGGGGGGCGGCCGGTACAAAGCCCAGAGCGTGTTCTCCGAGGTGGGCGCACAAGCCACCAGCCCGGTCTCCAGGGGAGACGCTGCTCTCTGCGAAGCCAAGGACAAGTGAACGAGACTGACGAGGCAGGAACAGCGCTACTCACCACGTCGTAGCCAGTGGGCGCCCGGTTCCGCGACGCCACCACCCCGACTCCCGTGATGGGATCCATCGACACGTCAGGCAAGGCCTCCGAAAGGTCGCGCACCTCAGGCATCGTGGGCTGCGCCTGGAACCGGGAAGCAGAGTTAGAGGAGAGCTGCCCTGCTAGACAGAAAGCCCAGCCCGTCTGCAGGCCCGGCATGTCCGCTGGACATCACCCAGCCAGCCACGGCCACAGCCACGGTCACACGCGCCTTCTGCTCAAGAGCAGCCGCGCTTCCCAGCCTGTCTAAAGAGGCGTTTGCTTGTGATTAGACCTTCCATTTGCACCCTCTCTGGTGCCAGGGGTTCGGCCCAACAGCCTCGTCCGAGACGACCTGGCTTGTTCCCAGAGCATTTAGCCTGGGTGGAGCCCATCGCGAGCCACCGCCCCCATCCCTGTTTTACCAATGGAGGAAGCAAGGTGCAAAGAGAAGTGATTCACTCAAGGCCAAATGCCAGACCTGTGAGTGGTATCCTGCAGCCCTGTCTCCCAGTCCCCTTCTCTAGTGAGGAAAAGACACTTCCTAGAACGTCCCACCCAGCACTGATCAGCCCTGTGTTGACAACCTCAGACACAAGACGGCTGGATGCTCTCACAGCATCCTGATCGGATCCCAGTCGGGAGAATGTCATTTTGTCTTTGGTCTCTGCTGAATACTGCATTATCCTTCACTTCCTGTCCTTTGCTGCTGTGCACTCATGAGCAACCGTCACTACCCGCCAAACACGCCGCCAGACAGATTCATTCCGGAGCCCTTCAGGAGGAAAGATGTAATCGGAACATAAGATTCTGTTACGTCGGCTCAGCCCGTTTCTTTGATGTGTGTTTCTTAGCCCCAAGGAAATACCACAGCCCAGCTGATAATGTATGAAAGGGCTTAACAGTCCATCAGCCAGCGCAGCAACATTATTCTTAAGGCAACCAATGGAGCAGCCAACCCACAACGTTAAATTGGTTACATTTATCAAACGCCCAGCGTGCCAAGAGCTCTGCATCCTCAGAGAGACACACACACTCCACAGGAAACAGGCCTGGCCACAAGGCAAAGAATTCTCCCCAGCCTACCCTCTTGGATCCAGCTACCCAACCCCTTCCAGAAAAGCCGTGGAGGCCAGACAGACCTGGCAGGATGCTCTGACAGACAACAAACCCAGGTAGTGCTTGGTCCTGCCAAGATGGGGGCAAGGGACTGGACTTGATGACCTCTCACGGACCCTTCCCATTCTAGAATTCTGTGTTTCCAGAGATGTCCCATTGGACCACTAAGCCCTTCCCCATTAGGGTTGCCAGATGGTTTAACCAAAAATACCGAAAACACACACACACACACACACACACACACACACACACACACACACACACACTGCCCTGACCGTCGGCTGACACCAACAAAAGGCACAATGGGCCCCTGGGACCCGGGGCGAGGAGGAGGACTGGGGGGGGAAGGAGGGAGCTCCTTGGAATGGCGCTGTTCCCTGCTTCCCCCCCAGATCAGTAGCAGGCTAGCAGGTTCCACAGTGAGCCCGCCTCCCTTTGGGGCTTAGCTGGAGCAGGTCCAAGACGTGTCTACATGGCTCCTGGTTCACACGGCCCTGGTGCCAGCCAGCAGCCAGGACTGCGGTGGGGAGTCCCGCCCCACACGGAGGTGCAATGGGGCCCAGCTCGGAGGGACCCGCACACACAGGGCCTGGGCACAGCTCGGTTTGGAGGGAACGGGCAGGCCCGAGGAGGGGGAAGGGCTCCATCCGAATTCCCGCCAGAGGGAGAGGGGCCAGAGCCAAGGAGCCAGCAGAGGCAAGTCCTCCCTTGCTTCCAGGAAGGAGCGCGCCAGGAAGCCAGCCCGACGCCCGGTGCAGAGGCAGCCCTGCGCGGACGAGAGCCGCACTGCTGGGGAGCCAGACAAGCGGTGCACAAAGGTGCCTCATTCCAGGGCCTTTTCCACAGCAGTTAACCCCCCCACACACACACCCATCATGGCTGGTGACTTGCTGCTTCTGAGGCAGGTCGGGTGCTGCGGGGAGCAGGGTATCGGCTGCCAGCCCGACGCCCGGTGCAGAGGCAGCCCTGCGCGGACGAGAGCCGCACTGCTGGGGAGCCAGACAAGCGGTGCACAAAGGTGCCTCATTCCAGGGCCTTTTCCACAGCAGTTAACCCCCCCACACACACACCCATCATGGCTGGTGACTTGCTGCTTCTGAGGCAGGTCGGGTGCTGCGGGGAGCAGGGTATCGGCTGC